GTCTTCTGTAAGAATAATATATCTAACATCTACCCAGTCAAACCCATAGCATCAATGTTTGGAACGCACAATAAATCATCTTGTGTTTAATACCAATATAATCTCTGTACACAAAAGAAGTACACAAAACGCTGACGGCTGTTTACATCCAACCCTCCATTCAGCCTGAGCAGCTAACCGTCCCTGCAGGGACACAGATGCACACCACATCTGGCGGGAGGAAACTATACGAATTACACTATCAACAGAGAGGTAGAGGTGAAGGACAGAAGGGGGGGTGTACGAGTGTGTGATTGCATGACAATGTATTTTATACAAGCACGCTCTCTATAACATTCTTATTGTTAAATTGAGGTAAATATGCAGTTAGTATATAAAAAATTGATTTACTTTAAAGTACAATATGTAGGCTCGGCCTCTAGGGTCTCTCAATCAAAACAATAACAAAAGACCTTATTTTATGACCTCATGGAGCAGTGCGGGATTATGGGAGTTGTTGTCTTCACTACACTGCTAATAAAAATCTACCGGATGAATCTCAGATGCAAACCATGTTCATGGATGGGGTCATGTATTTAACTTTCATTCAGGTTACGCAGCAAAAGACAGTGAACACAAAAGATTCCTTATGAGTGACCAATACAAACAGTGGCATGAAAACAGCTGACTGGCCAACAGTGAGCTTTCCTTCGTCATACGTCGTTGATTGCCCTGGTAGTTACAGCAGAAGTACACAAGTCAACAAAATATATAACATAGGTCTCGTCATTTTTTAGACTTATTAATGAGTTACATTTTATATCTTGAAACCATCTTGAAAAGCCTGTGCAACTTATACTTCAAAAATATCCACATTTGTGTTGTGTGTTGTTTTTGTCACTCATACACTGTGAACACTTCACATAGTAAATACTAAAGCAGACCTGCTGAAGTGTATAATGAAGCATGGACTTGTGAATTTTATTCAGTAGAAGAAATATAATTTACTCACTGCTGTTTGTGGTTGAGCTCCGCCTCCTTGTTCACCAGATCCTGTTTGAGGTTTGCGAGCATTTCCACCGACACGTCCACCTGGCGAGAGAGCTCCGAGGCCTTGTCCTCCAGGTCTTGTTTCTCCTGGCTCAGCCGCTCGCTCTCTTGCTTGGCCCGCTCCAGCTCGGAGCTCTTCCTCTCCAGCTCTGCCTGAAGACGGCCGACACGGGCGGCTATTTTCTGCTCCACCTACAAGATGTGATAGCACATGAGCTTCTTAATGTCACCGTGTTGTGTTATACAACCCAACCAGAGGGGCGAATCGGGTTTTTAACTGAGATTCAGTTGTTCCCTGACAAAAGGTTTAATCAAATCCATAACTCATCACCATATTTTAGTTTGACCTGGTTTAATAAAATTCAATCATATCAGACATTCTTACACTTAACTTCTCAGTACCCTGTTGGTGATCCATTTGTTAACGTGTAACTTCACCCCAAGAGGAGCCTCTATCCTGGCAATTTAAAAAAAAGCCTTCACAGTGCAATTCTGGGAGGTCGGCCTAAGACAGACCCACCTTTGTCTGAACTGTGAAACTCAGACATCAGGAGAGAAACATTAGTCCTTGTGGAAGCTCTCAAAATGTGAGCCTGGAGATTTACTCAATCAAGTTGTTATTTTCTTTATTAATTCATCCGCCTTATTTTAGGTTCTGCAGTAACTACTCTACACTGTGCACTGTACTGATATCACAAAAGGAGGAGGGAGTCGTTAGTGATGTAAGATGCCACCAGATATTTTACCTGTGTCGAGGTAAAAGAGCAAAATCGAATTGTAATAGTCGTGTTTCTACCAACATACAAAGATTATGATTTTCTATCAGTTCAGATTTTGGACATTATCATTGATGATGACATTTTTAATGAATGGTTTTCACTACATCCTTGTTGACAAAGATCTTCTTGATAATGAGGCTGCTGGACTCTTTACAGGCGACACGTGACTCCCATCAGTACCATTTCACAGAGCAGATTCAGTGAACGTCTCTAACAAGGTCATTAATTTCCTCTGTGCTGCAGGCTCAATGATCTCAGAGCAGACTGAGGACATCAGGAAGAAAAATACTGCTTGCTCAACATCTGTATTAAACACTATTTTCATTCAGTGTCTTTCAACTGAAGGAATAGAGTGTATGTCAAAATACAGATGAATGAGAGATCGCAGGTGATTTCCATTGTTCCAGTATAGGTGGACTAACACTGAATAAGTTCAAATGGAACCAACTTCCAAATCTCTATGACCTTCAGAAAAAAAGTTATTGAAGAATATCTTGAACTCCTATAGGTTTTCATCCCGAACCCTAACCCTAATCACAACCCAAAAATCAAACACTAATCACAACCCTAACCCTACCCCTTCCAAAGGTCATAGAAGCTCAGGGGTGGTACCAATGGATCGCGCATAGCCACATTAGTGGAGATGGAACCAACTTCCAAGTCTCTATGACCTACAGAAAAAAAGTTATTGAAGAATATCTTGATCTCCTATGGGTATTCATCCCTAAC